TAGCTTTCGTGATCTTCTTGTAGTATTTATTGAAAGGCTAACACCGTCAGGTTTAACACCACCTGTATAAAATTAAAAAATATATATTTCTTTTTAGATTGTATAAAATAATCTTATTTATTTATTAATAAAAAATGAACCTAAAACTAGAATTCCAGAAGTATTCATCATCAGTTGAGGATTTGATAGCTTAGTTCTATCTGCAATTGCTGTTATTATTGGGTGAGAAATGAAGTTTTTTGGCAAAACCAGTGTGATACTATCTGATCCGGTATCTTTTTTTTCTCCTTGCTGCCTTTTAGAAATATTAAACTCAGGATTACTTTTAGGAGAGTTTTAATATACAAAACTCATAGAATGACTATATTTAATGACATAAGAATCTTCAGCTGAGTCACTACTATAACCAACCAACTAAACAGTTTCTTCATCGTCTATTTTTCTTCTTTTTTCATTTTCAGTTACCACCTGTTTCTTTTCAATTCTTTCTTTTTTTTTTCCTAACACTAGAATGTAGCACATTATCTTTTACACCAATTCCTCCAGTTTTTATTTCCATTTTAAAGAGCTGTAAACCAGGCAATATCTTCATCTGCATCCTTAGCTGATCTGGTTTTTCTAATGTCATTTTTCCAACTAGGAGAACTATTATCAAAAATGCCATCTAATGATTGAATAAAGTTTTGTTCAAGTAATCTTCTTATTAGAAATTCTATTTTTAGATTTATCAAGCAACCTCCATTTGTCATGTAGCCTTAAAATATTTTCAATACTGAACTTGTCTTGTTTATAAGAAGTGCCAGCCTTATCCCAAAAAAGCTTGACTGATTTAATTGTAAGCAATGCAGCTAACCTGGATTTCGAAATGTTGCTTTGAGTGTGCAATGCCTCCCTAACTTTAGTAAACTCTTCATAAGAGCTATCAATAACTTGCAAGTGATACCTTGAAATGGAAGATGAAAATAATTTAAACCTTTAAAAAAACTTTCAGAAACATAAAGTTATAACTTCAGTCTTAATATAGTATTAAGCCTAACCTGAAAAATTTATAAACATTTCTGGTAGTGGGCAAAGAGCTTGTTTTTAAATCTTCTAAAGGATATCCAACTAATCATATTTTGTTTGTTGACTTTAATACTTTCAAGTATTTCTTTTTAACTGACTTTTTTAATTTTGTTAGTTCAATGTCATTTTTCTTTGGTTTAATTAGTGACATTTTCTTTATCAAATATTTACTTTGAATTACTTATAAACGGGAATTGAAAACAAGTTTAGGATATAGTATTAACCACTTAATTATTTTGTATTGTTATTAACATAAACATAAGATAAATGACAGCGGAGTGCTAGATTTTAATAAATTTGCTGTATTACGGTCAGACAATAACCTGGCTGATAATAATAAATAGTCAATACGTTGGTGTTGAATCTGTTACTATATGCTTATTGAAAAACATTATGTAAACATATAGGCCTACGATTTGTAAAAAAATAAACATAAGATAAACATACTGAGTTTTAATCTAAATTACGCATATCTTTGAACACAATTCAACAAATACCGCAACTCTTACAGGTGCCTATTTATTGTATGAAAACCACTAAATAAAGTTATTCTGTTGTAGAATAAAGTTCTATAAATACCAGAACAAAAGATTTTTGTTTTGTTTTGTTTTACAAGAAAAGGATAAAAATATAAATATCTTATTAGAAAGATACTTAGAATGTTAAATTGAAAAAAAAGTATTGTTTGCTAAACTCTTAGTACTTTTTGCTTAAGCATATCAGTCTGATTTAAATATTTCACATTATAAAAATTGCGCATGTTCAGTTTGTTTACAAAAAAAACGCTATTATTGGTATGTAGGGTAGGATGGGGCAAGAGGCCCAGGTGGGGTAAAAGGCCCATCCTGCAGTTATAAAGAACCTAGGTAAAATATTATAATTATTGTTTTGTAGTATGAATGATAAATGTGTAACAGTGTTGCGAGCGAATTTTGGTGAACTTTTAGTAGAAATATAATTTTTAACAGAATATTGAAGACTTGACAGGTAATAAGAATTGGACATTTTGATTTTTTGCGTAATTTTAAAAATTTTTTGTAGATTATTGTTAAACTTAGTTGATTATTTAAATGAGTTTATGTATTTGTAAGCGTACAAATTATGTACTGATTATTTACATAATGTTCATTGTACCATAGAATAATATGTTTTTATCAATTTTTGCACCGACCATTTTGGGGCAAAAAGCCCAGTTTGTTAATAGGGCAAAAGGCCATCCTGAGCTTTTTACCCATTACATTATTTAAGTAGAATGTTCAAATTTTAACTTTATTTTATTTATAGATATGGTTAGAAATTACAAAAGGAAGACAAAAAGTGGAAGTTATGGAGCAGAAGGTTTACAACAGGCTTTTGATTCAGTAAAAAATGGTATGTCTTTGCGTAAAGCTGAAAACAGTTTTGGAGTTTCAAGGAAGACATTGAGAAGGCATTTTCAGGGCAAAGTAAGACAAGTTGGGAGCAATAAATTAGGAAATCATGTGAATACTTTTTCTATTGAAATTGAACAAGATCTTGTTAAACACATCCAAATGATGGAAAGAGCATTATTAGCTAGAAACAAAACAAGTGAACCTACGAATACAAATGAAGAAGCCGGCAATGCGGTGGATGATGAAACATCGGTTAATGTGATGGAGACTGATAGGATTGCAACAGGAGATAGCAATGAGTCTGATGAAAATCAACTAGATAAAACAGCTGATCATCCTGGTTTATCCGAAGCATCGCAGATTATATCAGGACTAAGCCCTATTCCAAGGATAAAGAATGTACGCAGTTGCAAACGAAAAACCGAAGTAGCAACTGTAATAACTTCTAGTCCTTATAAAGCAATGTTAATTGAAGCAAATGCAAAGAAGACAAAACAGAACAAGCAAGTAGTAGTTAAAAATAATAATGAGGAAAATGATGAAGACGAAATCGATGTTATCGCAGACAAATCCAAGAGAACCAAAAGTGGAGATGACAAAGAAACCGGGAAAAGGAAGCAATATGCGAGAACAAAATCAAAAAGGACAATCAAAAGTAACGCATCGAATGCTAACGTGATAAGAAAAGGGTCAAAAGAACGAAGATGTGTAGGTTCTGTTACTAACAGTGATGATACGCCATGTTGCATGTGTGGTAAAAGATTTAACGAATCACCCATTGATGACTGGCAGCAATGCCCAGAATGTCTCAACTGGTACCACGACGGCTGTGGTCCTGATGACACTGCTGTCTGCTTTCACTGCCAATAGGCATAATCAATTCAACTAGTCTTACTGTAGTTTTTCAGCTGTCTTTTTAGCTGTATGAATTAGTTTTTTAGCTGTCTTTTTGGGTTATGAATTATTTTTTTAGATATCTTTTTAGCTCCATGAATTAGTTTTTTTTAGCAACTTTTAAGCTCTATGAATTAGCTTTTAGCTGTGTTTTTCAGCTCTATAAATTAGTTTTTATAGCTATCTTTTTAGTCTATAAATTTTTAGCTCTTTTTAGCTCTATTAATTTTACGGTGCTGTTTGCCATTGTCATATGATAGCATATATGGTGCTACTTGCTAATATTATGGTGCTAAGTGTTTTACTAAAACTTTTGTTGGACATTTTTACACATAAATATATTGTGACTAGTAAAAAGTGTATTGTTGCAATAAATTTTTATTGTAAAAAAGGAATATTTCAAGCTATTAACGTTTGGGGTAAAAGGCCCAGGGTAGGGGCGTTTTGCCCCAGCAATGGGGCAAAAGGCCCACTCTATAGCAGTTTATAAAAAGCATATTTCCATTAAAACTTGAGTAGCCATTAAGAAAATAACTTCAGATACTTAAGTTTATTATGTATCTGAAATAATGGTAACATAAATTTCTAGATACGTTTATTGGATCAGTAAAAAAAAGACGAAATTGCTTATGGTGGGCTTCTTGCCCCACCTTACCCTATTTAACCGAATAATTAAAATGACGGAACAGATGTAATGGAGGATTTGTGTTTTTCGTTTAGATTTCAAATTCACATTAAAAATGAAATGCAGTACTTAGAGATGTGCTACATAAACACTTTCATAACAAAAAATGATTTTTATAGTAAAAGAAACAATATTTTATTCAGCCACTAGTAAAATTAATTTTTTGAAAAATTTATGTGGGACTGTGGCCTGCCCTAATATATATATATATATTTATATATATATATATATATATATATATATATATATATATATATATATATATATATATATATATATATATATATTCATATATATATATATATATATATATATATACATATATATGTATATATATATATATATATATATATATATATATATATATATATATATATATATATATATATATATATATATATTATATATATATATATATATATATATATATATATATATATATATATAACTATATTCTAGGAATTATATTTATAAACAAAATTAAATAAAAAATACATCAACATAAGCAAAGCAAATAAAAGTCTTTTTTGAATTTTACAAAATAAAAATATCAAGAAAAAGAAACTTAGTCTTAAATTTTTTTTTTACACTTAACATTTCTTGATTTTAAATTTATCTCTTTGTATAGTTTAGATCCATGAGTAATATATTTGCTTTCCTAAATTATAAAAAAGCACTGTATGCAGGAAGCTCCTAACAAAAAATTAAAAAAAAAATATTTAAAGGTTTAGTGGTTGCAGATATGTCTATATAATAACTTAGACTTAAACATGCATTTTCGTTTATAAAACAATTATATTTTTTTTATACAGTATTGAAGTACAAAAATAAAATGGCTGATAGTTGTCAAGAGCGATTACCGATGTTACCGATGCCAATGCTTCGGCTAAATGACATCGGTGCACCCCTACTCTATATACACTTCTTGTTATAGTATCTTTTGTTTTTGCTTTTATGTATTAAATAATTAAAACTTATTTTAGATGAGTGGTCAACATACTTGAGGTATGTAAGGAGGTTAGATTTCTTCGAAACTCCAGATTATGACTATTTATATGGCTTATTCCGTAATCTTTATGAAAAAAAAGGTTTTATAGACGACGGCGAGTTTGATTGGACGCACAAAACAATTGTAAGCTATACCTTTAAAAGTATTTTAAAAAAAAACTTTTTTTAACAACAAGGATTTTATTGCAGAATAATTTTTACTTTTTTTTTTATGCCTATGTTATCATATAAGTTTAGTAATTATGCATTTGTAATGTTTACTTTTTGTGTGTGTGTTTATTTTTTGAAAAATTTTAAATATTTTAATTAATTTTTGAGTAATTAATTATTTTAATTAGATTAAAATTTTTTAATGTAAAGGCGTTTTTACTTTCAGCCAACACCTATTGGTTCAAGTACAAATGATGTTTCTCAAAGGGCACCAGGTGCACACAACCTTCGAGTAAGCTCATACTATATTTATTTTTGAAAGATTATTATTTTTTCAGTTTTTAAAATGATTTTTAAAATTGCTATTTTAGCCAACTGATCCGTCCAATAACCCGAGAAATTATGTAGGTCATTTAAAACCACCATTAGGTGGTTCTGTTCAAGTTGTAAATTCTATGAATGGTGAGCTGGAAACAGATGATGCAGTGCGAAAGTCTGATTTACCTATGAATCCTCAACCTGAAGTTGATGTAGTTGGAGAAACAAAGTTCGTTTTTATACATCGTAGTTATTTAATATGTTGTTTCTTTAAATTTTGCCTTTGGTTTTTGTTTCTTTAAGATTCGTTTCTTTAGAGTTTTTTCTTCTTTAGATGTTGTTGTTTCTTCAGAAGAAAAAAGAAGTCGCACAAAAAGAAGTAAGAACAATTTATCTGTAAATATTTATCAACACGCTCTGTGCTCCTGGCAAACTTATATAAGCGACGTGCGGATTTATCCAATAACATGGACAATAGGTCTATCTATCATATTAATAATTAACAATTGGTAATTGACATGTTTGCCGAACTTGGAGAACTGGAGAAGAGTCATTGATGGACTTCATTTTCCAATGATTAAAATGATAGGCTTGCAATTTCATCCAATGAAAAAGTCCATCATATTAATCAGTTATAAAATAGCGATATAATTCCCTTCGTTAAATTAAGATTTTATTTCAGTGGTTTAATTCTTTACGCTTGATTCTTAATGTTTTATAACTGGATAAACTAGTTTGACTTGTTTAGCCCGATTTATTTGTAGTAGCATTTTTTTAGAATGATTTTCATTTAATAATTGAGTAATTTCTTACTTAACTTCATATGAATTGTACTTGGGTTACTTTTCTAATCGTCCTTTTACTGGAAATTATAGATGTTACGCATTGTTTTAAATTCTTTTAAGAGGTTACGAAAGATAGGTGCTTGAAATTTTGATTTCCCACTAGGCTTTTTATTTTTATTTTTAAGGTTGGTCAATAAGACTTTTCGATGTTTTCAAAAATCCGAGCGTTGTTTTAAACAACTTTTTCATTTATAAGTTTTAAACGTAGCAGTTTGATATTTTTTGATAATTTCAACTCTCGGGCACGTTATAGTTGTCTGAACTTTGTCTGACCCAAAAGACGAATTTCTCACTTGTGGTTTATACTTACCAACTGTATATTTCTTTCTCAAATAAATATGAACTTTTTTAAAGTGTTTTTAATTATCTTAAAAGTGTTTTTTTTTATTGTTTTTATTTTTGTAGAATTGTTTAAAAAATCTAGATCTATAAAAGTCTATAGCTTCTTAATTTTTTTTACAGTTGACAAAAAATAAAGCTATTGTCAAGTGTATTGTCAATTTTTAGGTATTGTCAATAGCATTAGTAATCTTAAATCAAATTTAACAATATCGCACTGTGGATGTTTGTATTTAAATCCTATTCCTACATTTGAAGGACCCGAATTGGCAAGAAGCCGCATACTTTGCACTTTTCGCCTGAAAACTATTTTAAAGTAGTGAAGCAAAATTTAAGTTTGAAAATAATCATTTATTATCAATGTAAATATTTTTTTTTCATATAAATATTTTATAAATCAAACGTTGATTTTTTTTATTTTTTTTTTTTTTTGCGTGGAGTTTTCAAGAAGTACGAAGAACATCTATTACGGCAAAAGAAGTGTGTATGATTTGGAAGATAATATGGATTGTTAAGCGCCAAACCTGCTTATTACAACGAATATGTTGAAACGAGATAATTAGACGCAAAGTTTAAAAGTCTTTAACAAAAGCCACTAAACAAAAAAAATTAAAAATATTTGCAATTTTAATCATAGTATAATGGCGTTGGCAAAAAAACACTACATAGATCTTTTTTTAACATAAACTCATTTTTTTCAACTTCGTTGTATAAGCAGGTTTGGCGCTTAACCATCTATATCTTATATGAGAGTATATTATGTTTTGAAAACCTCAAGAAATACGCTTTCTCCTAATACTCTCAATGATTTTATTTTTTCAGAAATTTTTGCTGGGTTAAAGACAGGCCCGCACAGAGACTTCGTGGTGCCCAGGGTCAATTTTTGTTTGGTGCCCCAAACTTTGGATTCCTGGGTATATTAAATTAAGCATAAATTTCACTGTTTATTGTCCGTATGTCACATTACTATCACATTACAATTAATGAAAACAATTATTAATGAAATTTAATGAAAACAATAATTATTTTTGTATTTGTAACTATCGCTGCACATAAACACTCTATATTTATACTTGGTTATATATGATAAAATTAAAATACAAATACAATTTATTGTTAACATTTTTATCAGCGATTAATATATATACAGTATCGGACAAAACAAGTGCAACCACATAATGTTAATTTAGTTTCTTTATATAAAAGTGCTGCATTTTTTCAATTTAGAGAAATAACTATGTAACTGTTTAGAGACAACGTTCTTCAAGTTTTATTCATCACAAAGTTCATTATTTGTACACGAAAATTAATAAATTAATCAAAAGTATTTAAAAAAAGTTGATTTCCTTCTGGATAAAACAAGTGCAACTCCACAAAATGTTGACCAACCTGTATTTCGCTATCAATATTTCATGGGGAATCCTTTGTTGTCGATCACAGCCTTGCATCTTTGAAGCATAGATTCGATCAGGTGAGCAATGAAACTTTGTGGAATCGCTGCCCAGGCTATTTAGATTTGTTCAAACAGTTGATCCTTATTACGAACATCTTCACGATAATTACTGCGGATGACAATCTCCCACAGGTTCTCGATAGGGTTGAGATCCGGAGATTGAGGCGGCCAATCCATCATCAATAGGTGGTTGTCTTGAAACCACTGCTTGACTACTTTGGCAGTGTGTTTTAGATCGTTGTCTTGCTGAAAAACTCATTTTGTTGGCATATTCCCATTCAGCATGAGGTAACATAACATCTTTCAGGATATTTTTATACACAAAACGGTCCATTATTCCATCGATTCGATGTATTGGACCGTTAGCAGAAAAATCCCCCCATACCATTACATTGTCTCCACCATGCTCCACGGTCTTATGGCAGTAACGTAAATCAAGGCGTTTTCCGGCCAGTCGACGTACACGACAAATGCCATCGCTCCCAATGATGTTGAACTTAGATTCATCACTGAACAAGACAGTTCGCCATTTCTGCACATTCCAGTCAATATGAGATGTAGCAAACAGGAGTATTTTCTCCCGGATCCTCAGTGAAATCAGCGGTTTCTTTGCAGTGCGTCAAAAAAACAATCCGGCTTCAACAGCACGTTGTCTGATTGCTCGGTCTGATAAAGGCAGCTCTTATTGCTTTTGTATCTCAACTGATGATATCCAGGGATCCTTCTTGACGGATCTGACGATCATAGAATTCTCTCTAGAAGTGGTGGAACGCGGTCTTTCACCTTTGTTATCTGCTGCCAACTTCCCCGTAGAACGATATTTGGAACATAGTCTTGATACGGTCCATTTTTTCACGCAATATTTATCACAGACACTTTTTTGTGACATTCCATATACGTAATCATAAATAATTTTCTTTCTTAGTTTCAATCCAAGACTGTCGGGAGCCATTTTTGCACTTGAAGTCATAAAAATAATAAAAATAAATAATCACGCTTCTCAAGGCTTACCGTGTTACATTTACCTTGTGATGATACAATAATGTTCTGTGGAATACAACGTCTTCGTTGGATGTGGACTGTATTGATGTAATGAAACACTCGTTATATTTCACTTCTTGTACTGATGTTCTTCGATAAAACACTTTGATAAAACTCACTTTAATAAACTGTCTTGATAATACTGACTGATTGACTTCCATATACTGACTGAATTACATGTTCGTTTACATGTCTCTTTTATAGTAAAATGAACCTGTGTGAACCTGTTCTGGAAGATTCTAGATGCTCCTTTTCGATGCTTCTGAAAGCTTCTGGATGCATCTGGATGCTTCTGAATGTTTCTGGATACTTCTGGATGCTTCCAGATGCTTCTTCTGAAAACTTCTGAAAGCTTCTGCATGCTTCTGGAAACTTCTGGGTACTTCCTTTAATTATTAAAAAACTTCCGTAACGTTGACACGGACTAGACTTAAGAAAATGAAACAAACCAAAAAAGTTGCACTTGTTTTGTCCGCTGTAAAATGGCACTTGTCAACGAAATTCTGCCTGTGTGCTGTCACCTGTCAGCTGATTGCTCATGTCATGGCATGCTATGACTCTAGACAGCTGAACTGTTTGCTGTGGTAGTATAATTCGTTTCGTTTTTAAGACATGTAAAATTAGGAACACTTTTTAGCATTGTTCGATGTTGGTTGCAATTTTTCATTTACAATATATATATATATATATATATATATATATATATATATATATATATATATATATATATATATATATATATATATTATATATATATATATACATATATATATATATACATATATATATATATATATATATATATATATATATATATATATATATATATATATATATATATATATATATATATATATATATATATATATATATATATATATATATATATATATATATATATATATATATATATATATATATATAAATATGTAGATCTTATTTATTTTTTTGTTTTGTTATAAATAAACTATGAAAAGGAGACGGAAATAATTTCGTTTTATAATTGTACATAAAACAAAAAATATTATATACGTTAAGTTGGTGTATGTTTAAAACATTCATTTTTCTTAAGAGAGGCTTTGAATGAGCTTGTCGATTACAAGAATTAACTAAACGTGCTATATGTTTGCTGTGCGATAAAAATAAATTTGTGTCGTCGGCAAACATTATTGCCCTCAGGCTGGATGTTTTATAGAGATGATTGACATATATATGAAAAAGAAGAGGTCTGAGTAAAGAACCTAGTGGCACGCCACAAGTAATATTTAGTAGCGTTTTTGGTGATTTATTGTCAATGAGTACATATTGAGCACGGTTATTTAAACAACTCTTTACACATTTTAAAACGGTTCTTGTGATTCCATTTAGTTCGACCTTTTTAATAAGAATTTGATGGTCAATAGTATCAAAAGCTAAAGATAAATCAATAAAAATTCCTTATGTATATTCAGATTTATTAAACGACTCGTTAATATTACGTATAAACTAAAGTATTGCATGCTCTGTGAAGTTATTTTTTTTAAAACCATAGTGATTATTAAATAAAATATTATTTACAGAAAAATGAGTGTTGATTTTGTTATATTAGAATCTCTCTAAAATTTTTGAAAATACAGGAAGAACAGAGATAAGGCGATAGTTATTTATCTTAGTTGCATCCTCTCCTTTGAGTATTGGCGTTACTTTGGCAATTTTAAGTTGATTAGGGAAAACCTGGCTAAAGCAAGATTTTAACTATAATATTTTCAATAAAATTGTAAGAATTTATAACGACGTTTCCGTTGATACTGTCGAATCCTATTGCTTTATTTGGTTTAATCGTTTTGAAAGCAGCTTCAAATTTTTTAAAGGATATTTCAATGCAGTTAAGATTTGTTGTTTTTTAAGGTAAAAATTCAAAAGAATTACTAGTATAAGGAATATTTTTTGCTTAGTTAGGCCCCGCTAAAATAGAATGCTTATTTAATTCAACTGCAATACTACTTGAAGCATATAAAATTTTATCATTAACTTTAATACCGTTAGGCAAAGCACCTGATTTAGTTTTAGCTTTACCAGTGATTTCTCTTAAAACTTCAATATTTGCGTCATAAATACATTCGAATGTTTTAAGAAAATTGCTATAAGCTAAGTTTGCGTCTTGAGAATGATCAATATGTTACCAATCAAGCATTGATAATTGGTCATTAAACGATACTAAATTTGCTTTACTATAAATGCGTTTACAAAAGCTATTTTTTTAATTTAGTATTAGTTTAGTATCAGTATTTATGGAGAAAGAAATCGGAAAATGAATTGTGATATCGCATTTAATGATTCCGTTTTTAAAAGAATGATTAAAAATATCGTTCGTTATGATATTGTCAATTAATGAAGTCGTTGATTCAGTAATTCTTGTTGGTTTCGTTATTATCGGAAACGCTCCGTTTTTAAATAAGTCATTGTAAAGCTTTTCATTGTAAAAATAAGTCATTGTAAAACTCTTTAATGCTGTATTTGACGTGATGCTGTAAACAATCCAAATTAAAAATTTCAATTGTTAAAATCTCTTTATCGTCATCAGAAACGGTTAAGTCAAGCCTATTAACTAACTACAAATTTTCCTTTATATAAATATAAATACCGCCGCCGCGTTTTTTTGTTTTACTCTCTAGAAAAATGGTTCTAGAAAAAAATCCCCCGGGAAATATCCCCCCAAAAAAATAATTTTTTTTTTTACATAAAAATTATCAATATGCAGTTATGTTTATTTTTTTATTTATTTTAAATATTTATATAAAATACTTCATTTTTCATCAAAATGTCAAGTTATGCGCTATTCCTCGAAGGTAGCGAATGTGAAACCCTAACCTGACGAACTGCGAACTGGTAAAATGTGAACTTTTTTGCGAACCATCGTAGTTAATTTAGCGGTATTTTAAGGACTTTTAAGCAAAAAAAATATTTAAAAAAAATAAAAGGAAATAAGTGAAACTCGACGAAAACAATATGAAAAAAAATATATATATATATTTTAATTATTTGATAGACTGCCTGCTCAACCCAAACCCTCAGTCGATGTAGCAGCACTCCGTTGCGAGTCAGACTATAAGATAGTCGATGTAGCAATACTACGCGCAGGTTTTACAGTTAAAAAGATAAAAATTTTATTTTAAATAAAGCTTTAAAATAGAATATTAGGAATTGGAAATTTTTATATTATTTTATTATTGTATATGTAATTATTTTTGTAGGTGCTCCCAGAAGTTCTTACAGTTTTATCACTGAGCATCGCGGACGAGTATTTAATTAGAAGTTCACACCTCCTTCCGTACCAATGTCGCTTATTATGCTAGAGCTGGCGACAAACCTCGGACCTCTGGCTGAATGTATATGATTAATGAAAATTAATCATATACATTCAGCAGATTTACAATTACAAAAATGAAATATTTGCCAATTTTTATAAGTTTAATGCAAATAGTTTAAAACAGTTTCAATATTTTTTTGATTGATTCTTATCAGACAACCGCTTCATTTTTTGCAATAACAGTGTAATGATCCTAAAGAAACAGTGTATGCACTGATCTCTATAATAACTGGGTAGCGCATCTTTATTATCAAAAGTGAAGTCAATTTTTTGTACGGCCGCCATATTGGAAAGCCCCAGAATACCGAAAATACAGTGATTGCGCTTGAAGATGTACCTTTTTACTTCGTTTATATCTACTCGACCAAGTCACATATTTCAATGATATTATTATATTTAAAATGTTTGAAGGTGTAAAAATTATAAAAGGGAATCAAAAACACGCAAAACATTAACGACGAAGAGAAATATCGCTATAAAGAAATAATAAAATTTGTATTGCTTTCTATGAACTTGTTAAATTTATTGAATTTATGATATTCTAAATAAAACTTTTCTGAAAGAAAAATTGATATTTAATCTGGTTACTTTTGGGTGTTTATTTTAACAACTTGATGCGACCTTACTTAGCAATAGTAGCTAGAAAGTAACTTTACAAGTATAAAACATGATAAAAACATTGTATCAAACATTTTTGTAAATGGTTTTCTAATTTTTGAGACTCTGAGGACATGTTTATATTGTTCCACAACTGATATATCATCAACTATGCAATACTTTATTAAAATTGATATCACTTAATAACAATGTTTTGTTCTGTTGCTTTGCTAACTTTAATTACACTTTGTGAAGGTTTGACAAAGCCATCTCTAACTTAAAACACTAGATATTTGGTGATAACTAGTTATTTGCAGTTTTACATGTAAAGGGCTTCATGATAAGGTCATGTGATCTTCTGGAAGTCCTACCAGTAATATATTCAATGTAAATTTACCTTGTTCATATTTTTCTGGAAAAAAAAACTTGTTAAAAAAACAACAACATTAAAGTGTCTAGTGTTTTAAACTAAATAACAGTATCGCATACATGCTGATTGTGTATATGTAAATATGGTATAAATGAAAACAGACATCTAAAGTAAAATAATAATGATTCAGCTAACATCTATCAGTTTTATACTGATAGATATTAGTTATATAATTAATAAATATTAAAATATTTCTTGTGAAAACAAGTAAGCAACATAAAAGACCAAAATGAAAGGTGAACAATTTTTTTTCTAAGGGTACATACTTTTTTACTTTTCCCTACCTTATAATACCTTTTTTATTCAATGTTTGTTTTGTTATTAAATGATTATTTTGTTCAAGATGATAGAGCTAACTATTATTTTATTTATAGTTTTTTATACTTTAACATATTCTTTTGTAATTGCAATATCCATACAAATGTTCTGGTGTTGTGAAAATGTCTAATGGCATTTACAAAAATGTCTTGAAAGTATTTTTCGACAGTTAAGCGTTAAGTTATTCTATATATATATATGTGTATATATATATATATATATATATATATATATATATATATATATATATATATATATATATATATATATATATATATATATGTGTATATTTATGCCACTCTCCATGAAATAATCTGAACATATAACATCAGATTTACTCGGTTTTTAATAATCATTGCATTTATAAGGTTTTTGCATTTTTTATTTATCAAGCGAAATCTGAGTTTTAAGCCCATATAAGTTTAACGCAACTACGCATTTATAAATTCTGGGGCTTTCCAATATGGCGTCTTTTGGCTTCAAAAATTTTGAAATTTTATTAGGAGATGCGCTATCCAGTTATTATAGAGATTAGTGAGTGTATGGCGTAAAGCTTTTTTCAACGGCCATCGACTTTTTTTCACACTGTGGAAACATTTTATCGAAAGAGGATTAATTGTACTCCTGATTATTGTTTTTCATTAATCTTTGATTTATCTGATAATCCTTTTATTCTTTGATTAGATAATTAAGTCTGCCAAATATAAAAAAATATTTGTTTACCCAAAAAGTTTAAATTTAAAAACACAATTCCTTATTATCGTAAATTATTGTATATTATATGTCTAAACAAATTATTGTTTTAACTGATTTTTACATTCTTGCATTAAGGACATAATACGTTTTGATGTTGCATGCGATACTAATCCACTTTCAAGTCTTCCAGCATACATGCAATCTCGCACATGCTCTGCTTCGAACCTGAACAACAATAGATTACATAAAAATTGGTTAATCTATTTTACACGAATGACGATGATTTAATATTATACCTTAAACCCACTGAATGTTTAAAGTTTGTAGGTTCAGAATCGGGTAGAGGAAATGACCGAACATCAACATTGCCATCGTTTCTTTTAAAGATGAATTTTGATGGGCACCAAAATGGGGCTTCAATTACCACGGTACCCTCGGAACAAAATATAACGCATTCATTCGGTAATTGATGATCTAAATCAAAAATATGTTTGCATGCATACGTAAAGTGTGAATTATGTCTGGAACAAAAGTTTATTATAAAATATTCTTTAATCATATTTTAAAACCACTATATTTTAAAAGTGACATAGTAAAGACAAAAATTGCGAACCAATTGAGTTTTAAACTTTACCTTTAAACTGTATCTATACTGAAACTTTCTCCTTCCTTCACACAAGAAAGACCTTTTTTTATTTCTGTACTTAAGGAAGAGTACCAAGAATAAAATTAAATATTAATAAATTTTATTTAGAAAAAGGGACCGAGAATAAAGTTAAATATAAAAATATTCAATGATTATTAATCTCTATCTTTGTATACTTCACCTTGATCCTTTGTTTGATTTTTCTTTTGCTTTTTATCTTGTATATTTTTTTTATTTCTTTTTTGTGTTTTTTTTTTACCCCGGTTAGTTATTTTCTTTAAGGTATATTTTTATCATGAGTATTTCTTACTGAATTATCGCAATTGTATAATTTCTTAGAATCCTTGCCCACTGCCCCTCCTCTTTTTTATTCTTCCAAACTCGTTACCATCATGATCTTATTACCTTCAATTTTATAACTATTATTATTGTTGCTTTTGATGTTTCTATTATTATTGTTCTTATATTTGTTATTATTGTTTTTATATTTGTTACAATTGTTCTTATATTTGTTATTATTGTTCTTATATTTGTTATTACTTTTACAGTTATTTGTTGTTATCGGTCGAACACCGGTAATCTCGAACTGTTTCATCCGGTTCCTTGAAATTGTCTAATCAACTGCTATTAAAATTCTCAGGTAAAGTCAAACCGGATAACTCGAACACTTCTAAGTCGAACCATTTTCTTCGGTCCCTTGAAGGTTCGAGTTATCGGAAGTTAACTGTATTTAATAATATTAGTTACTATTACAATTATTATTATTATATCTATTTTTATTAGTACAATTTTTAATATTAACATTTTTGCTATTACTATTATTGTTACTTTATCATTTTTATTACCATAACTATTATTATAAGTTTATCTATAAGTATTATAAACATTTTTATTTTTATCTTATTATTATTATTAGAACTATTGCCACTACTATTACTGTGCATTATTTATTACTAATACAAATATCATTATATAATTAGTAATAGTCTCAAGTTAGCATATTAATTTCATGTTTTATTAAAATTATCGTGAGTCATTGTAGATTCTCATGTTCTTGTCAGTTTATAACTGTTTGTGATTGTTCCTATTTTTGTATATATATAGCAGAAAATGAAAGAAATGACTGATTATACTATTTCCTTTGCAACACAAAAGTTCTATAATGAAATAAGGATCAATCTTTATGTAAGAAATTTTTCTAGATTAGTAGGGCTTAGATTTTCTAAAGGAAACCTTATAGCGTTTATCATTTCAGTCTCAAGCCTGTCAAAAAAGCATTAGTTTCAAAACTACTTTAAGCATATTTAGGACATGTCTTCTATGAGGACATGCCTTCTATACATATCTTCCGTCTTGGCTCGTACACCAAGTTCGCACACCAAGCTCGTACACCAAGTTTGTACACCAAGCTCGTACACCAAGTTTGTACACCAAGTTCATACAGCAAGTTTGTACACCAAGCTTGATTATATAATTACTAGATGGTAGTTGTGTGATTCATTCATGAATCACACAACTACCATCTAGTCATTATATAGTCTTAACATAAAACCATGTTTTATGTTAAGACTATATAATGTAAGTAACATAAACATTTAACTATTCATGTATATCATATTTCATAACATTTAGTTATTGTTGGCTGAAGTGAATTTTAAGAGTCTTGCGCTTAAATAATTTTTAATTTTTATAAAAGTTGATTTTTTTAAACGATAAATAACCAGACACCAAGAAATGTCAAAAGATAATTTGCAATATTCGCATGATGTAAAAAATACTTTTTATCAAATAGCCAAAAAAAAAATAATTTATGAAATATCATAAAAAGAAGAAAAAAAAACTGAAAATATGGTTATTTAAATTGGAATATATAGGCAGATATAAATTGATGATATCGCAAAAACGATTACGATACCATCAATTTATATCTGCCACCAAAAAAGGAAAAGTAACTACCACTAGTAAAAGAAAAGTCACTACCACTACACCTTTTCTGGATCAATTTAAAAGAAATGCGAATCAATTTAAAAGAAATACGAATTAATTTAAAAGGAATACGAATCAATTTAAAAGGAATACGAATCAATTTAAAAGGAATACGAATCAATTTAAAAGAAATACGAATCAATTTAAAAGAAATAAAAATAATTATAAAATGAATGCATAAAAATTTATTTTCAACGAAAATATACAGTATACTTATTTGTTTAAAGTTGACCGGTGGTGGAAGTGACGACATTGCGAAGTATACAAATCTTCACCAAGCGCTTTCAGGTGGGTGTTTGAATTTAATATCCTTCATAGTGGGAATTTATTTTTATGTGGAGAATATACATTAACTTTTGTGAATTTATGTTTGATTTTAATATCCGTCATTTTGTGAATTTATGTTAAAACAGAATAATTTTTATGATTCATACCAACATTAAATTGATACTTACCAGGAAGCAATTCATAGCCTGCCTGTACACTTACCATAAGGCATTTAAAAGCTTAAAATTTAGAGTATTTTTAAAGTGTTTAGAATTTAGGAATCAAGGATTATTTTAAAGAAATGTTATCCTATACTTAAATAAAAGGATTTTTAAAAATTTACAAGAATTTTTGTGAGGCATTTTAGATTAATTAAGCATAAATTACCCCAGGTATACAGTAGTGACTGCATTGGCAAGTCTCACTATCCCGGTGAATTATTTTTATGATTCATACCAACATTGTGCCCTACATGCTTGCTAAACTTGATACTTGCTAAGGACAAAATAAATTTAATGCTTGCCAGGGGATGAAATAACAAGGGTATGTTTGCGAATTTTCCAAAATCGCAAATAAGGGACCTTTTTCAGATGGTGTTAGGACTGAAAGAGCGCTCTTTAAAAAAATGTTTTTTTTTCTCACATTCAGAATGACTTCATCGAGTGGCTATTTGATGAACCTCTTGCGTGACAACAATAATGACACTTCCACAAATGATGCAGAATCAACTGGCGATGTAAGTCAAGCCCCAATTTCAAGAAAGGGTGTTAAGAAGGGGACCAAGAGGGGCAAATATGAGAAATCAACGCCAACAGTTCGCCGTCGAGTCATTGCAGCTGCCGAAAATGGAGACGGTGGCAGTAGCCAATGGAGTTAACCAGTCTACAGCGTACACGTGGGTGAAGAAGGGCACCTGGATCCAGAAACATCGAGGCAGGGTTCAACAGCGTGTCAAGATTGAAGCTCACCACGAAAAGCTCTCATCCACATGCTCGAAGAAAATCCTCAGCTGACGTTAAAAGAAATGACCGCCAAGTTGCTCGCAGACTTTGCTGTGAATGTGGCGTCTCAGACCGTAGCTGAACATTTGAATGGCCGCATGCTGTTCTCGCTAAAACAAATTCATCTGCAACCAGATACTGCTAATTCGCTAACCAACAAACTCCTTCGTCGCGAGTTCCTTGAGAAACTTATGCAGGCTACAGGCATTGGAAAATTTATAGCGTACGTGGATGAGAGCAATGTAAACCTTTTTATACAACGTACTCATGGACGAGGCAAGGTGGGAAATAGAGCTGTGGTGAGATTGCCTTCCAGTAAAGGTGCCAATGTGCACATGATAGGGGCCCTCACACAAACGGGTTTGATGAACTTCACGTGTTGTCGAGGGAGTTACAAGATGGCTCAATGCAATGATTGGCTCAAGCAGCTGCTTCAGGGAATTGTGGCACAAGGCATTCCTTCTACGAATATTGTTGTGGTGATCGACAACGCTCCATCACGCAAGAGCCAACGAGGCTGTAATGGAGTTCTAGGGTGCTACAATCCTCCGTTTAGCCCCATATTCTCATATACTAAACCCCATCGAGGCTGCGTGGTCTGTTACTAAGTCGGAACTGAAGAAGAGAGAAGCGGCTACTATTCAGCAAGTCATTGCAGGGAATCACAATGGTCTCACTCAGACCGAGTGGCATCTTCGATATGTGGAGGATCTTATTGACCAAGCGCGCCTCAAAATTACACCTCTCATGTGCCTCCAGTTTGTGAACCATGTGCAAACTTTCTACGCGGACATCATAGCACTGAAAGACATGCTCCCTGGACAATAAGGCAGAGATATATTTTTAAGATCTCATACATTCTGGATTGTTGATTTATATATACTGTTTCATAGTTCTTGCTATGTAAAACCTTATTGTAAAGTTGAGGTAGTTCAAAAGCATCTGTTACAAGAAAGTACTTTTAAATTGATTCGTATTTCTTTTAAATTGATTCGTATTCCTTTTAAATTGATCCAGAAAAGGTGTAGTAAAAGAAATAGGTTACTACTCTGGAATAATATATATATATATATATATATATATATATATATATATATATATATATATATATATATATATATATATATATATATATATATATATATATATATATATATATATATATGTATGTATATATGTATATATATATGTATGTATATATGTATATATGTGTATCAAAACAATATAAATAAACAAGTTACCTCCATCAATCAAAATTTGAGCAGTTTTATTCCCTTCATAAAGTAACGTGACACTTTCAGATCTGTCTATTCCAGTACTTGCATCAATATGTCCACAAGCAGTGAGTTGTTTTACAGGAAGTCCTTGGAACAACATATCAGCAACAAATAAGGTATAAATACCTATGTCAAATAAGACACTTCCACCAAGCTCTGGCTTACATAACCGATCTTTTTGAAAAAGGTTTTGTATGCCAAATGTTAATGACACAACATTGACATCTCCATAAAGCCCACTCTCTATATTTGATAAGAGCTCTCGATATAATGGGAAGAATGCGGTCCACATTCCCTGTAAAAATCACTTGGACTATAATATGATAAGATGCAAATGTTAAAGTTTTTAAAAGTATGTCAATTTTAAGCCTGAGTTTAATTACAAATTATGTGATGTACAAATGCTAATATACCTGGGTTAGCTATCAAACATAAAAGTTATAATGTATAACTATTATTAGTCATAATAATATTTAATTATAACTATATTCTGATAAAAACAAAATTATGGTTATTGATTAAATGTAACTTTTTTTTTTTTTTTTTGACATCACTTTCAACAAGGCTGCAAGCAACCATTATTAGAGCTGGAAGTTACTGGAAAAGAAAAGATGAAGTTTATAGAGTAAGATAACAATTAACAGACAACTTAAAAGATTGCAAATTATATGAATCAGGAAAACAAGATGAAGAAAGCAAATTTCAAACAACTGATGTTGGAGGAAAAAAACTAGACAAACAAGAATTTTTGAAGCACTTAGGAACAGTCACAGTAAAAGAATGAGACATAATTACGATGATGTGATAGTGATCAACGGTTGGCTGCAAGAGCAGGTCCAACTATGTTTACAATGTATTTTTTCATCTAGTTTTAAAGAGGAAGGGCATTACTAGAAGATCTGCACAAGATAAGGCAACAGTGTTCCATACAAGGACGGATTTGAGATTTATAGAAATAAAGCATAGAATTGGGAGAAAGAATGTGGCGAGCAAAGATGCAACCTTAGCAGATGTAAACTTTGCAATCAATATGATATATGGTTTCCAAGGAAGTAAGAGTTAACTAAGAAGATGAAGGGCAGATGTCTCATCGAGTACATTACACTTCATCGAGTACATTACACTTTATCGAGTACATTACACTTCATCGAGTACATTACAGTTCATAAATATAGGAAAATCAAGATTATTGTGATAACGATAAGTTAAAAAAAAAAAGAATTTTATCTGAGTTAAAACTCACTAGCCACTGAGAGCCCATGCTGTAGCAGAAGCGAGATCTTTTTCAAGCTCAAATGCCCCCTCCAAGCAATCAGAGAGTGTTGGCTTCTTATCATGACAAGAATAATTTGTAGTATCATTAGCAAACAATGCCGTCTTAGATGTGAGAATTTCTAGAAGATCGTTAATTCAAATTAAAAAAGAGTATTTATAAGTATTTGTTAATTAAAGACTCAAAAACCTTGCTTACAGTAGAAAGAAGACTAATGGGATGGTAGTTAGACAAGTCAGCTCTCCAGAATGTTTGAAAATAGGGATAACAGATGCAACTTTCCAGCAGGCTGGAAAACTAGACTCTGATAAGCACTTGTTAAACAGTTTTAAAAGTATAGATGACAGCTCCGGAGAACACTTCAATAAAACTATAACAGGTATGTAGCACAGACCACAAGCTGTAGAAGAATCTCAGCAGGAGTGATACGAATTTCAACCAATGGATCAACCTGTTTGACGGCTATATTATTTATAATATACTATAATTATACCATAACTATTATTAATTGCAATAATTGATTATATTTAATTATAACTAATAATAATTGTAACATATTTGAAATAAATCTTTGATGTTTCCTTGTATCTTTGATGATTCCTTATATTATTAAGTATCAAAAACATCCAACAAAAAGAAAACTAAGAGTTTTATTTAAAAAAAAAGATGAAACCTTTTTTTTATTTGCCTTTTTTAAGAACTTTTAGGGTGTGAAAAAAAAAAAAGATTCTAATTTTTAATTGTTGTAAAAAAGTAAATTAGTGACTTAAGATAAAATGGAAAGCTTAAGAACCCAGATGCAGACTATTTCTCAAAATACAATATAATACAAAATATAACAAAGTATAAACTACAAAATATAACAAAGTATCTACAAATCCCATGGCAATTTTTCTGAAAAACAATATTAAAAAAACTAGTGGGTTAAAACTAGCTCTAACGTAAAAGATATTATGTTTAAAACATTATTATATCAGACAAATTTTGATTTTAAAAACATTTCATTATTTTAATAAAAAAAAAAAAAAAAATTAAAATTATCTAAAAATTAAAACTACCTCCATAAAAAAAACATTATTATCTTTTGCACATGTCAAAACCTCATCTAAATCTGTAGAATCCATACATACAGGTTTTTCACAAAGCACAGGTTTCCCATGACTCATAGCTAAAATGCTTAAAGATTTATGTGTCGGGTTGATAGTACCAACATATATTATATCAATATCTTGATCTTTTGCAACATCTTCATAATTCCCACTGAACGATTTTACATTAAAGTGTTGAGCAAATTCTTCAGCTTTGCTAATGTCTCTTGCTGCTACATGGGCGATAGTATGTTTCTCTTTTGATAGTGTTGACAACGCAATACAAAAATCAAAAGAAATTTTACCACATCCAAAAATTCCCCATCTTAATGGTCGTTCTTGTGACATTTTTACTTAAAAAATATCTTAGAAATCACATAATTATTTAAATGCCTTTTACCCTTAAATTTTCTAATAGCAATGTAATAAAATTCCAATTAATGCTTTCCTCTATTAAAAAACTCCCACAATATATAAATACATACATATATATATATATATATATATATATATATATATATATATATATATATATATATATATATATATATATATATATATATATATATATATATATATATATATATATATATATATATAGTAAAAAAAAACATGTTTTAAATTTTTATTAACTTTTTATTTTTTTTCTGATTAAACTGATTGGACATAAGTCGACATTTTTAAATTTTAGGCACGCTAAATATATTAGGACAATGTTGATATAAATATTTGATTTGATTAAGACAAGACCTCTTTAAAAAGTGTGTCCAGCCCATTCATAACTTAATTTTTATTATAGTTATATATTTAATTATTTTTCAAACTTAGTAGAATGTAATAAAACTAATATACAGACTAATATGTCACATATTTCTTTGTTAAACTTTCAAAATTTCAATGTTTTCTTAATGTTAAATTGCCTTGCTTTATACATAGATCTATTTAATGCTCCATTTATTGTTTCATACATTGATCCATTTACTATTCAGAAAGTTGTTTTAAATTATTTAACTGCTTTTTACATTCTTCCATATAAGACATAATACGTTGCGATGCAGCATGTGACACCAAGTCACTCTCAAGTTTTCCTGCACACAAACAATCACGTACATGTTCGGCTTCAAACCTGAGAAACAAAAAACGGAGCCGTCCAATTACGTAAGAATAATAAATTACTTAAAAGAATTCCCAAGTGCTGTGATTGGTTAAACATTAGAAAATATGTTTATTAAAATTACCAAAACAAATTATTTGTTGAGAAATTAACAAAAAACGTTGGTTATTTTGCAATTTTTTCTTCTTCAACTTCTGGTTGAGGGGTTATTATTCATAAGGTAAATATTGAGTCCAATATCAACTTTATGAATCTGCATAGTTTTACCATTGTAAAAATATCTGGTTTGAATAATAAATGTATTTACTGTAATTTTATTTAAACGATTTACGATTTACAATCACAAAGGTAGGGTTTTTACTTTTTATAAAAAAACATTAAACATTTTAGTTTAACCATAGTTAATAGACTTGGTTTGGAAACTTTGCAAAATCTATTGTTTAACCTATTGACATAAAAATAATATGATATTTAATTTGTATGGCTTCTGTACTTATTATTAAAACATTTACTATGCTTGGAGATGACATTTTATTTGTATGGCTTCTGTACTTATTATTAAGTATTATTATTATTACTATGCTTGGAAATAATATGACATTTTTATTTATTTACATTAATTTATAGCTAAGCAGAAAGCAAACACTATTACTATCTAAAAGATGAACTTTAACAAACATGATCTGCACTATAATATTGCAATTTTTCAGAATACTGCAATTAATTAAAATATTGAATATTATGATAAATAAAATTAATTTGCTCATTAAAATTATTCTAAATGATCTAGTTGAATAACTAACTATTGTGAACTCATTAATAGTATGGAAATGTACTAGTAAGTCAAATTATATTTAAAGAGGTAGTTCACTTATGTCCACAAAATGAAACATATAGACTTATCTTGTGATTGTGTTTTAAAAATGTAAGAATTATTTTTTTAATTAACTTACATACTTGATAAATACTATTCAATTTGTTTGATTGACAGCCTACCCAAACCAAATGTCAATTTAACATTATATATTTGTATTTACTTATATTATACAAAACCAATAATTGTAAAAAAGTGCTTAATATTAAAAATCAATTAAAAAGTAAATCATATATATATATATATATATATATATATATATATATATATATATATATATATATATATATATATATATACATATATATATATATATATATATATATATATATATATATATATGTGTGTATATATATATATATATATATATATATATATATATATATATATTGACATATATATTGACAAAAGTGACATATCAGCTTCCGCCATCATTTCACATGATATACATGATATACATCTCTCACTCTCTCTTATATATACATACATACATATATATATACATACATATATATATATATATATACATACATACATATATATATACATACATATATATATATATATATATATATATATACACACACATATATATATATATATATATATATATACACACACACACATATATATATATATATATATATATATATATATATACATATATATATATATATATATATATATATATATATATATATATATATACATATATATATATATATACATATATATATATATATATATATATATATATATATATATATATATATATACAACCCTCGGAATTAGGGTTGGCATTCGGCAATGCCGATCTTACTGCCGACCTGAAAGTGTTTGAGGTCTGCAAAAATTTGCCGACCTTGTTTCTATATTTTATGGTCAGACCTTTGTATCAAATAATTTTTGCCAACCTCAAAAAGATTGAGGTCGGCAAGTTATTTTTCCTCATTCCTAATATATATATATATATATATATATATACATATATATATATATATATATATATATATATATATATATATATATATATATATATATATATATATATATATATACATATATATATATATATATATATATATATATATATATATATATATATATATATATATATATATATATATATATATATATATATATATATATATATAAAATATAAAGTTCTTACTGCTCTCTATTAAGCACCGGTAAATATTGTTTTCATTAAACGAATAGTGAATTGCTATTTGTTAAACTTTGGTACTGAACAAATATTACTATTCATCTAACTTTGCTTAGCGAACAGTACTATTTGTACTCCACTAAAAATATTGCGACTCTGACTCCACAACTTTGACTCCACAGCCCTGATTTTTACATGATTTTTACATTAAAACTACTGTTTTAGGACCCTCTCTCCCTCGTACACACCAGATGCTTTCAACAATCATTCCCCCACCACCCATGCATACACACACATTATTTATTACAAAATCAATCTCCAAAGCATAAATTTTCAAAACATTAAAAAATGAAAAAAATTTAAGTAAATTTGAAATTTCTGTTACATTACTGTAGATTACTACATTTCAAAAACAATCAATGTAGAACTTTTTGAATAAGTTTTTGAATGGTTTTTTATTGTTAAATTCCAAGTTTCCAAACCAGTTTAGTCTATTAACTATGGTTCAATTATTAATTTTTTTATTGACGCCATTTAATTAATTACAACAGCGCATTAATCAGACTTATATCAAAAAATACAAAAAAATAAAAATCAAATGGAAAATAATGGCGCTAAAAATTATAAAGTTTTTTGCTAATATCTTGATAAAAAATTTATTTTTGAAAGTTTAATTAACATGAAAACTATTATATTAATTATGGATTATTTAAGAAATGAACACAACTTGTCTTGGCACTTAGGAATCTCATTAATGTTGCTTGATTTATGCTAAATGATCAACATTTAAAATTACCTTAAACCAACTGAATTTTTGAAGTTTGTATGTTCAGAATTGGATAGAGGAAATAAACGAACATCAACACTGCCATCATTTCTCTTGAAGATAAACTTTGTTGGACACCAAAATGGTTCCTCAATAATTATTGTACCCTCAGAACAAAATATAACACATTCATTTGTCAACTGATGATCTAAATAAAAAAAGCTTAATAAATTGTTTTTAATTTTTTTGATCACTACATTAATTAAATTTTAAAAAAATTTGTCAAATTTGATAAAAAATGAATTTTATTCAAAACTGATGAAAACATCTAACATAATGAAACTTATTAATGAAAAAAAGTATAAGAAAATCTTAATAAAATATCTGCCTTAAGATGAAATTTTGTTGCCATGGTGATCCAGTGAAATGCAAAAATCTACTTGTAATCTACTAGTATCTATTATTACTTGCAGTGATTTTGGCCAGTAATAAACTTTGTATTACCTATTATGTTTATTATCTGCAGTAATAAATATTTTGTATGAGTTAGTTTGCCAGAGATCAATGTTAGTAAAAAATTTAAAGAAGCTTTTTCTACAAGTTTCTTTCAAAATTAAAAAAAATGTTTAATTTAAAATTTAAATTTAAAATATTTTATTTAAACTGATTAAGATCCTACTTAAGAAAAGAGTAAAAAAAATGTCAACAATTATTGAATATAGATTAAGTTTTATTATACTAAAAACTTATATTTTAGATAACAAAGATTTGACTCAAAAACTTTGACTCAAAAAATTTAGAAATATTATAGTCAATATTAAGTGTCAGTTTAATATTTTACAAAATTAAATCTTTCAAAAATAAAGAATGTAAAGAACTCTTCCTTTCACCTAGAATAAAAAAATTATAATAATATTTTTTTCTAAAAAGCTGATAAATTGCTTATGAAAATGGATATAAGTTTTATCAGTTTTTATTTATTATCAAATAAGTTTTGACATAGATTTAAAGACTAATATATTAACAATTTCTTTGTTTATGGTTGTAATACTTGTTATTTATTAATAATTTCTTAGTGCAATTTAATACATGAATACTTAGGAGTACGATACGGTCAACAAGTTATCTTCAATAAAACAGAATATAGTGTAAGAAGTTGAAGAGGTATTATAATGGATGTTTAACCTTTGATCAGTAAATTTGAAATGGTGGTTGATTTGATGGTTGATTATTATTTGCTAGATTTGAAATATCCTTCTTCAGACCTCGGTGGGAGTAAACGAGTGCAAGAGCTGAGAAAAACTCTTCTAAAAGAAACACGGTGAGCCATGCAAGCTGCTCCTCTAAACAGCTTCTTACGAGATCTTTTGGTTTTTGCACATGCTATCTGTTTATTTATTAAAAAAATTGCTTTTTAAATACAAAATTTGGTTTTATACTTGCTAAAAGCATATGTTTGTAACATTAATTATTTCATAGATATACATCTCTCACTCTCTCTTATACACATATATATATATACATATATATACATATATATATATATATATATATATATATATATATATATATATATATATATATATATATATATATATATATAACTATTTTTCTACCGCTTTCTTTAAATTATTGAACTAAGGAAGGCATATAGAAACGGTTGGTGTAGAATAGACTGTATTTCAGGATTCCGAACAAGAGTTTTTCAATTATTTACCTTATGATTAAAAAATGTAATTATTAATTTCTATATTTTTATATATAATATAAAAATATAAAACTTAATGTATATAATTCTTACTGCTCTCTATTAACCACCAGCAAATATTGTTTTCATTAAACAAATAGTGAATTGCTATTTTTGCTAGGTTTTATACTTGTTAAAAGCATATGTTTGTAACATTAATAATACAAGAATATTTACATAACGAGCGTTATTTATTGCGCTATGAAAAAAATTCTTTAAACAAGCATTGTCTTTGGGTTTTCACACTAGCTATCCATTTGTTTATTAACAACATTACTTATTTGATGAAAAATTTGACATAGAGCTTTAAAAGTTTTTACTGCTTAAAATAAAATTTTTATATTTTCTTATTGCAATAGAATGCAGGCATTTTAAGAATTATTACAACAATAAAAAATTCTACAATAAAAATGAAAAATATATTAAAGTAATTAATATATTAGAGTAATTAATATGTAAAATATATAATTCATTACATAAAATAAAAATTATTATGCAATAATTTAGAGTGTAATAATTTTATTTTTTATCAGTTAAATAATTTTATATTTTATCAGTATTATTTAGAATGTAATAATTTTAAATTTATCAGTTAGTCCAAAAATTATCAAAAACATTTGCATTTAAATTGGCGCTCTTTTTATTTTTTATTTTTTGTGCAACAACTATGCCTTTAAAAAGCATTGCAGCTTATTATGCAATTAATTTTTTTTTTATAAAAATGACTTTGCGTTTTTCATTTTAGTTACAATTATAATTATACTTTTGAGAGAAAAAACTGTACTTTTACAAGAGCCATAAATTGGAAACTGAGCTAATGCGCTAACTTCCTGCAAGGGTCTGCTTCTTGTTTTGGACAGCTTTTGGGATGTTTGCAAGATATTTGCGGCTTTAGTCAACTGGCTTTATTATCTGAAAAAATGCATTTTTTTATTGCAATCTTTCAATAGAAAAATACATTTGAATTTATAAATACTATATATAATATTAAATAGTTAATTTAAATTTAAAAATTAAAAGTAGTTAAAATACTTAAATTTATTTGTTTATTTCATTAATTTTATTTTACTTACACTAAAAAACTTTTATTTACACTAAAAAACTTAGTGTAAATAAGTTAAAAATTTAGTTGTAAATATGGTAAGATTTTATTTGGCAAATTCTGCTATTAATTATGCAGAATTTAGCATTCCAAAAAAAAAAAACTTGAAAAATTTTTTTTATAATATTTTGCATAACGGGTAAAATAACAAATACACGGCTGTTTCAAACCAAGCTTAACGGCTTCTTGAAAATATTGACTTAAGGGGTGTTACTAAAACTTCTATAACTTTTAAAATATTAAAGATAATTTTGTTTTGTAAAAAGAATAATAACACCAATAAAATGTTTCATCTTACGACATTTAATGCATTAGTAAAAAAACTTCTTTAGGTTTAAAAAAAACGCGACAAATGATGAAGTTAATTTGACAATGACAAGTAATTTGATGTTACTTTTTATCAAAAAAAAATCAGAAAAATTTATTTCTGATAGTTATTCTCAAATATACCCATTGTTTGACTATTATAAAAACAAAAAAACCTTACTTAATTGTTTAAGGATAGCTAAAACAGACTTTAATGAGGTCTGAAAGCAAACCGCACTTTTCGCAAAGTTATGAAAAATGTAGTTAAAAGGGGGATTAGCTGTTAAAAGAGTACATTTTTAAACCTAGGAGTTCTTGTTTTAGAAACTTATTTTCCTAAGCCAATAAGTTCATTGCATTGCAATGAAAAGCCAGATTTCGATTTGGGAATATTTAGTCAAAACATTCAAAGCTTAAGCATTTATTTTTTTCTGTGCATACGTACATATATGGTGTTAAGTTGGTTCTGTGGTTGGTTCTGTGCATATGTACATACATGGTGTTAAATTGTTAATAAATAAAGACTCACCAAGTCTAATAAAATAATTCATGACCAAATTTGAGTTTAAGTTTTTGAATTAATCTCGCTTTTGGTAGTAGAAATATTTTATAGCACTTGAATCTATAGAATCTATATTGAAATGAATCTATATTGAAAATATAGTAATCTATATTTGCTCCATATTTGTTTTATTTTCAGAAGTTAATTGATCAATTTGATTCAGTTGACTGTTATTTAAAGTGAAAAAGTCATCTTGCGACAGTTGCATTTTAAAAAATTCTTTGTTTTTTATAGCTTTAAAATTTTTTTTATATTTCTTTTTTTGTCGTGTTAACTTTAGGCACATTTTATCAAACTCGTCATTACTAGGCATATCAAAATTAATTGGCAAAAGAAAACTCATAAAACTAAATAAATCACTTCTTATTTTAAAGACTGTCATTAAAATGGAAATGACATTGTTACTGATCTTATCTGTCCTAATTAATCGCTTAACAAAAGGAAAGTTACACCTATCTTCCCAACCATTTTTCCATCCAATATGTTGTTTTAGAATTTCCCTCTCAGTTGAATACATAGTTATCAAAATAATATTGACTTATTAATCAATATAATAAAAACAAATAAAATAATATTAATTAACAAATATATGCACTAGATAAAAGTGGATTTAACAACTTATCTGATACTAGTTTGATAATCCAAAGAGAAAAATTCCGCGTAACTTTGTTTACTTTATACTTCAAAAATTGACTCGCCGGTACAGTTGTTTGGAGAATATTCGTTAATAAATAGTTTGGGACGTAACGCATAAAGGTTACATCATTGTAAAAAAATGTCAACGCAAATGTACGCCTAAAACTAACAAGATTAGTTGTAAAACATGACATTTTTGAAAACATATTTCATAACATAGCTGAAAGCAAGTAAAATAACTTTTTTTATTTTCATTTGCATAAAAGGTTGAAATTTCATTAACTTACGTCATCCATCAAAAAAGTTACGTTTTGCATTTAAAAACGATTAATTAAAAAATATAAATGCTTTAAAAACAGTCTTTTTGTAAAAAAATCTCTGGATGACGCAGGAATCTGATAGAATGGGCATTTAGGGTTAAGTGTTCCAAATTTCAACTATCAAGCACTGAGCTATGTTATGAAATCTTAGTTGGCCCAACTCATGTTTTCCGGAAAATAAGCGAAATTTAGAAAAGTGGTTCTAAATTATTAAAAATATTTTGGCAACATTTATTTTTATACCAATTAATGTAAATACTTATTTAACAAGGAAAGATAGATCTTTTATATTTTTTTAATTGCAAGATAAAAGCATTTATATAAAAAAGTTACTATTAATTTAAAGTTTGTGAATTTTTATACTTTTTATGCGGAAATACTTTTTTTTTTTGATAAACTCATGACGTCAGGCTCGTTTTTATATTGAGTGAAACAGCCGTGAATATACTAGGTTTTTTATTTACTGAGTAAAAACTGCTCCAGGCTATAAAAACGATTTTAAAAAATGTATGCTATATTTGTCAGAAAAATTTAA